ATATATATATATATATATATATATATATATATATATATATATATATATATATATATATATATATATATATATATATATATATATATATATATATATATATATATATATATATATATATATGTATGTATATACGTATATATATACACATATACATAATAATTTCATACATATTGTATTCCACAGCCATACATTCTCAATGTTTATGAAACAAGAAATAAATAAACAGAACTGGAGAGTAGAAATAAAATAAATGGTCTGCTGTTCACAGAGGAAACGGAAACTGGAAGATCATCGACCGACGCAATCATTTTAAAAAAGGAAAATCTTTCAAGACAAACTCCAACTTTTCCAACCTAACTCCAGGAATGATAGAGAGAGGAAGGATGGGGGAGGGAGGGAGGGAGGGGGAGAGGGAAGGAGAAAGAGAGAGGGGGAGACGGAGAGGGAGAGAATTAGGGAGTGAGTGAGTGAGTGATGGAGGGAGTTGGTAAGAAAATTAAGAGGAGAGAATGGAAGGGAGGAAGTACGAAAGAAAGAGAGAAGGATAGGGAGGGAGATAGATATATATATATATTACAAAAAAATAAAGTACCTTAAATCTGCTCATCTCTAGATGCTACATTATCAATCATGTTTTTCTAATATCCTGTCACTCCATTAACGCTCTCTTTTTTTCTTTTTTCTTCGGAGGGGATACGTGTAAGAGTGGGGGTCCTTGTACATGTGCGTGAGTGTATGCCTGTCTAGATAGATTAATATTAAGAGAAACAATGAAATTTTCATCACAAAGGCGAACAGAGAAACCTGAACAAGGCTAGCAGGCCCCCCACCTCCACCTCCCCCGCACCCCACGCGAGAAGGATTCCCACTCCTAATAACGCCTGACGCACGTGGATCTGCAAGGTGGATTAGTACTCGCAATATTTTTGAGCACACACACCGGGACCACCTAAGAAAATCTGGAACGCTTATTAAACTTTCATTCACCTTTTCCTTTTAAAGTGCTCTGCCCCCCCCCCCCTCCGCCCCTTTCCCCTCCCCCCTGACTCTCTCTCCATTCTTCCGCGATGCCCGAGTAACAGCGCAAAACCCGCTTAGATAAACTTTCGGGTAGACTGAGGTACACGTTCCCTTTACATAATTAAAATACTACACTCATGTTTTACATGCCTTGGAAACTGGGAAATAGAGGTGCACGTAGAATGAAGTGAATTAAATTCAAAACTAATGCAAGACATATATCTTCATTGCAAGGGAAAAAATATTCAAAAATATTGGGTCAGTATATGTTATAAATGTGTATGTATTCATACATACATATATATACAAAGAATATATACATTACACACACACATACACACACACACAAACACACACACACACACATATATATATATATGTGTGTGTGTGTGTGTGTGTGTGTGTGTGTGTGTGTGTGTGTGTGTGTGTGTGTGTGTGTGTGTGTGTGTGTGTGTGTGTGTGTGTGCTTGTATCTATAAATACACTCAGATTCCGAACCACATAAAAATAAAGTGGATGCAGTTAGTGCATGGGTGGGAGAGCGGCACTGAACTATTACTTATCTTCCTGGCACAGTAACTATAATGTTTTTCTCGAAGACCAAATCCACTATTTGAGAATCGGGTCAGTTAGTCCCCTCATCAACCCATCGGAACGAATATGTAGGTCAGAAAAGTGAAGCATCTGTTGGGGGAAAAATCGCTGCTAAATTGCTTCAGGACATGGAGGAGCCTCGCTCGCTTCCTGCGGCCATATACAGACTAGCCCCACTCTCGTCTCTCGTCTCTCGTCTCTCTCTCTCTCTCTCTCTCTCTCTCTCTCTCTCTCTCTCTCTCTCTCTCTCTCTCTCTCTCTCTCTCTATCTATCTATCTCTCTCTTTCTCTAATATTCTCTCTCTCTCTAATATTCCCTCTCTCTCTAATATTCCCTCTCTCTCTCTAATATTCCCTCTCTCTCTAATATTCCCTCTCTCTCTCTAATATTCCCTCTCTCTCTAATATTCCCTCTCTCTCTAATATTCCCTCTCTCTCTCTAATATTCCCTCTCTCTCTAATATTCCCTCTCTCTCTAATATTCCCTCTCTCTCTCTAATATTCTCTCTCTCTCTAATATTCTCTCTCTCTCTAATATTCTCTCTCTCTCTAATATTCTCTCTCTCTCTCTCTCTCTCTCTCTCTCTCTCTCTTCTCTCTCTCTCTCTCTCTCTCTCTCTCTCTCTCTCTCTCTCTCTCTCTAATATTCTCTCTCTCTAATATTCTCTCTCTCTCTCTAATATTTCCCTCCCCGCCCTTTCCCTCCTTGTCCTTTCCCTCCCCGTCCTTTCCTTCCCCCCCTTTCCCTCCTACTCTCCCTCTCCCTCACCCTCTCCTTTGCCCGCCCCTCTCCTCACCACCCGAACATAAAACACTGACAGAGTTTGGCAATTTCCTGGAGTCTCGCACGCGTGCTTCTTCGTACCACAAAGGTAAATCACCGTAG